CTTCTGTAAAACTCTCCCCTTATTCAACGACTAGCACGCCATCGAGAATAGCTAGCTGTGCTACCCGCGACGCGCCTTTACAGAAATGGTTGGGGTACGTGATAGTGGCAATTAAGAGTCAGGGATTTCTGGAGGTCTATCAACATTATGAACGCCATGACAAATAACAGCGCAGCCTCCGACTTACAGTTACAAGAAATTGCAACATGGGTATGAATGGAGGCCTATTATAATAACAACAGTTTAAAAGAAAACAGACCTCCAATTGCTAATGACATCTTTGACTCCGCCAGTGGTCGAAATTGACATTGCCAATATGAGGATCAATTACAATCTTATGCGGTTCTAATGTCAGAAAAATACCTGGACAATATTCAAGACTCTTCATTCATTAATGTTCAGCAGTGGACCGTTGTGACTATGTGACACATACTTGTGAATGGTCTAAACTAATAAATCTTTATGCTCGGAAAATAGCTAGCTACAGTGATATTGCAGGTCAGTTAGATGACCCTTAAGAAGATTAAAGGCCCCCAATTTAGCGGCATCGTATCTGTGACAATAAAGCTATTTTGATTAGGTTTACAAACGGCGTGAACATTGGAGCATTTTACATATATAATGTGTATATCATTTCACAATAAATATTTTTCCCTATCTTTTCAATTCAGCGTCAGAAATATGAGGGCCTGTTTAACGTCTGTATTTGTGGATATGAGAAGAAACAACGGAAGTGCTCTTGCTTCCATATTCTTTCCAGCGAATAGGAAGAAAGACTTCCGAAGTTTAGAAATCTAGCTCCGAAGTACGGAAGACAACTATGTAATAGTGAAACCCAGTGACGCATGACCGAACTCTATCGACGACGACCACATAGACAAATGTTTAACTGCTCCGCAGAAAACTGAAGAATATTCATCCAAATTACAGCAAACCGAAATCCTCCATAGAAGGAGCTGAAGGGCACATTATTAACGACCAATGGACATCATTTGTTAATTAACTTATCAACTTACGGGTACTACTACGTCCAGGCGTTGAAGTCAGAGTCAATTCTGAACGGATGAGAATTCAAATCGCATTTTTGCAATTACCATGACAACCTCACCAGAAACCGCGTATAATCTTTCAAGGCTTCCTCAAGGCATAACCGTATTCTTATTTTCTTGTCATCTACTTGCTGCATGCCCGTTGTTCGATTCTACTAAACAACACATCTGAGGTGAATTCCTTGATCGAGGAAACCAGCGATCAATTAGAAAGATCTGTGCTAAGTCACCTAACCTCGAACCAAATACTGGAATAAGACTGAAAACGAATCATACCATGAGCAATGTTTTATTTAATCCTACTTTGAAGCTATAGGAAAACGATCATAGACAACGCTATTACACTCTGATGCACTGTTAAGTGACAAACCGATCGAGAACGGCAATTATTTTAGAAAAATGACGTATTTACCTCAGGCAAACGAAGAATGAGAATAGAAACGATGTACCAAATGAGTGCGAACGATCGATTGTATACAGTGATAAACCAGGCGACCATTATCAATACATGCTTGAGCATGCAACAACGTATGACATGCGCACGATTGGCTTGAAAATTAAGTTTATTCGTCTGTGCGCAGAAATGTTGAGCAAAATTGGTGGGTTTCGACCAAAGTCATGGACCATTCATCTCTTCATGAAAAATTGAGGATATATAAGCGTGAGAACGACGGATGCAACTATATGGTCTGACTACAACAAAGCTGGATAGTATCACTATGAGAGCATACTGAATAACAGCATAAAAGAGAATGAAAAAAGGGTCGACTCAAAAGCCACAAAACTACAAATAAAGCATAAAACGCGAGGTCTGTGGTGAAACCGAATTCTCTTCATCGTTAAATCTCGCCAGAGGTTGGTAAGATGAAGGGAAGAAATTCTGCCCGCTAATGCCTCATGATCAGAGAAAGGAAAACGGGTTTCAGACACTTCCGTTCATTTGAAGCAGTTATGCAGGGAACCTTGGCGAGTTCTACCGAGTTAAAGTCTTCACTAATGCCACAACGGTCGAAAGACGCTCAATTGAGACCAGGAGACTAGCCAGTGAATGGCGAGAGCAGAAAAAGTGCCAAACTTTTAGCTTCTTCGACATGCTGTATTAGCATGTCTGCGAACCAAATGGAGTCATAGCCCGCATGTTTAACAGATGACCCTGATACGGCGGAAACAAAAATTTCCACACGGCACATCACTGACACAGAATAAGTGCTATCAACGTAGATACATTTATCTCACCGTTGATACATTCTTTCGTAAGCGAGCAATCTTAATCTTAAGGACGAATTTCTTTGAACAAGAAAAGTACCATGCGTTGATTCAAACCAGGACTGCTCAGTCGGTACAGTGTCAGAGTCAGAACTGAAAAGTCACAGGTTCAAGTTCAGGTCAGGTCACGCGCCTTTCTTCCGCGCGAGGTTGACAAATCAATACGACTTCGTGGAAAGGAAAACGAAACTACACACTGTGCTAGCCATACAACTGCTGAAGACTCTTTCTCTGCAATAAAGAACTGGTTGTGACAAGGAAATGAAGATCAGCACCTCACCCTTAAATTACGCAAGGAAGGGCATCAAAATGGCTCCATCATGAAAGGTGAACAACACTGAAATTACAACTGGTACAATGTTTTGCATTTTCCCTTTCGCAAAACTCCCAGGAAACCTGCAAATAACAATAATAAAATAACCATTTTAAAGGAAGTTGAACTAGTTTCCAGGAGTGCCAACGTGAAGGGTATCTGACTGTTATACTTACAGTACAAGAAGGTACGTTTAACATGCAATAAAATGCAACCTATAACGTAGGTTATAAAATCTTAAGGTTGCCGAATATGTTGGAACAGTTTGATGTTCGATATGTTTAGTTCACTTCAATGGCATCCAGTTCAAAAACTATATTTCTCTTTTTATGGTAGTCCCTACATATTCGCCGCGTTTATAGTGTTCCGCGTGACCGATTTCATTTTCCAAATATATTTATCATAAACGTCTCGATCTGCTTATCAGAAACATAATGGGCGATTGAATGGGGCACAGTGGTCTTTCCTTTGCAACTTTCTGGACCGATCGCTATATTCCAACAGCAATCCGATGGTGTACGACGTGAAGAAGATCTGAAGAGATGCAGATAAAAATTAAATATAGATATGATTCGATATGTGATGCATAAAGCATGCGGATATCTCTTCTTATACCATGATTAGCAGAAGCAAACTCATTCTGGTTATCACTGATTCTAAGTTTCGAGAACTGGCATCGGTCATTACCTGAAATACTACATTGTGTTAAATAAACAGCGTGCATTTTTCGAAAAAATGACAATGACGAATGACGTGGTCTGATCAGAGGGACGAGGAAATGATATTAAAGCCCAGTTACGTTATCAGGAAGAATGTTATGTTCGCCATGTCCTAATACAATCTATTTCATTCCATTAGATCTTCCATCAGTATTGTCTCTCAGCCATCATTCCGTGTTCACAGTCGAGAAGGCACATCGGAAAGGCAATCATGTGCTTCCCTAGGGATTACAGGGCATCGACGATTCCCTTTCTAATTCTTTCGCCCAGGCGTCGAATTGTGCTTCATATAAACAGTTCTAAGGCAAAGAGAGCCCAGTTAGACGCGATATATGATATTTACAAACCAATGTATTTAATTTGCATATACAAATACGTTGAAAGTATCAGAATGAGCAAATCTCATAAACGTTGTTTGTATGAAAAAGCCTCTCAGCAATGCTAAAACCTCGCGTTCCTTAAAAACGGAACCAGGCTGAACTCGGGTATGCAAAATAGGTTTAAAACGATTTGCGAGGAAAATAAGTGGAAACCAACTGGGAAGATCAGAGAGATCAAGAGAAGTGAGTTAGCGATCTGAATTCTACAAGGCCCATACGATCACGTTATGTTACTCTTTTGGACGTTTTTACAACGGTAATGAAAGTTGAATCGCTTTAAATGAAGAAAAGAGACAAATCATGTACAAATACTATAATATTCGATGAAGACCAGTGAGGGTATCGTTTGACATTTCTCGCTTGATTTGTTTCCATACGAACCGTAACGTTTTTACTGCTGTCTAAACAACGAGACCACAGTACTATATCCGTTAAGCGAAGTAAGTCAAACTGAAGTTTATGAGGCATCACTAGATTAATGAAACGATACATCGTCTGATTTCGTGACTAGTAAGTTCGTCTTTCATGCTGGTAACTACGGAGACAGAAAATGTGTGCGCTTCAGTCATCCACGGCATGATATCGATATGAGTTTACGAACATATGATCAGACCAGTACATGATTACGCGCTTTAAGCGAGAGATGAGGCAATAAGTAATGCAATACGGAGGTATGTCAAAATGATCTATCATGGCACGAAACGATCTAGGATACCCCTCGTGTTTTTCATGACTTTACCTACTGGTGGTTACTGAAACAATAAGTTTCAAACACAGGTAAAATATGGTAAAGAATCTGTAAACTAGATTCTAGCAGACAAGATAAGGTAATATTTATGAAGTATTGTCCATAAAATACCTCACAATGGAATAAGGTTTAATTAATGCACAAAATCGTGATAACTGCCGATGATGTCTAGTCGATTAAGAAGATGGTCGCGTGGTCAAAGACTTTTTACGAACGCAACGGTGTTGCTAACCGCGGAAACGATACAGTCAAGGACATTCAAATACGAGATACACGCTAGGAAACTTGTTGACATGTTGACGGGTGAAAAGTTTCCGAGAAGATAGAACGAATCCTCGAACAGATGACCGGAAGTGATATGAGGCTGAGGCAGAAACGACCAAAGGTCAGATGCTGATCAACAACAACCTGTGCACAAACACCAGCAGTTGGGAAAATGACCACCGACCGTCGAGTACTAACCGTTGAGATACATGGCGGCGGCCAGTAGTCTGTCGTCGGTCGGACACGCCAGTGTTTCAGCCAATGGAGAGATGCGTCATAAACGTCGTCGTTGCCACGGTTGGAGGTGGGCCAGAGGTAAAACTGGTGGTCGTGCAGGCTGACAGGGGAGTACTGTCACTGACGAATACACAGCAGCCTGGTACGTAAGCCGTCCGGCAGGTCAACGAGGTCGCGTTCACGGTGACCGGTGTCCGAACCAGAGACGGCGCCGCAGCGAGGACAACAACGTGATGATGAGGAGGCGAGTTATACGTGTGTGTGTCTGTCTGTGTGTGAGGCGGTTCGGCGGACGGCTGTTTTCGGCCGGCCGGAACAGAACGCGAGCGGAGTGGCCCTGACACCAGAAGCGTTGCGTCAACTTCACTTCGCCTTCGTTCGCACACAGCACATCAGAGATACCTGCAGTGATCATCGACGATCGGCTGGCTCCGCATGGTACCAAGTTCTGTGCAGCAACATGCCATTATTTCAGCTATTTGTCTATTGTTCAGCGGCCAGCCACACGCACACATTCGCGACCGACAGCCGACTGACGGACGGCCCAGCCCAACCGGTAGTCGAACAACAACCCACCTGGTCTGTTGGTCCTTGTGTGTGTCTGTCGGTTTCGGTCTCCTCTGCCTTTACCCCAACCGCCTCGGAACAACACCCATATGAAGCACGCCTGCTACCGTTGCAGGCTCTGGTTTTGTCACGGTTCGTCGCCGTCGACCATCGTAAGTCATACCATAGGGGTTCGCTGTCCGCCACGTGAGGAAGACTCCAAAACTAGGGCGGTAACGATGAAAGTTGATGACGCGTTCGTCGAACGACACAATTACGCTGCCACTTTCTTTAGTCCTCCCCGCGTCGTCGAGCAAAACATCGGTTCCCGGTTTTCCTCCGTCACGTGGCTTGACTGACTGTTTATTAATGAT